TGCCCCCATATGAAGGCAGGCCGCCTGCTATGATTCACAGCAGGCGGCTGCTCCATCAAGCCCAAGCCCTCTAGTGAAATAATCCCCATCCCCCCAGCCCAAACCCTCTAGTGAAATAATCCCCAAACCCAACCCTCCCCAGCCCAAGCCCTCTAAAGAAATAATCCCCAACCCCAGTCTTCATTTCGTTTGCGAGGTTCTATCTGCTTAGAAATTCACGAGTATACCCCGATTTTCCGACCAGCCTTTATTCAGTTAATCATCTCAGAATGCACTATATCTCATTTATTCAACATTTAAGTAAATTAAATAATCCTAACTTTGTCTAACAGTTAACATGAACATCACTCAACTCTAATTAACTAAGTTTGTCTGAATAAAGTGTTATCATATGATAAATAACTAGCAAGAGGAATAATCTCTAAATAAACTAGTTCATGAAAATTAGTGAAAGGTTCTTACCTGGTACAGCAGCGGAAGACAACGCATTTCTCCCTCGCCTTTTCAAGCGATCGTATGCCCTTCGGAAGGTTGACTTCAGGGCATCGTGAAACATTGTGCAGTGACTCACGTTCCATCTGTTAAAGGCCTCTGCGTTGAATACTGTATACGAACATATGATGCTTGGCTTACCGAGGACAACCTTGAATAGGCTGGAGTCGTAGAAGCTGCTTTTGCCTTGGTGGTGGTGGTGAAATGTCAACTGATAAGTAATTTCATCAGCGAAAAGACCACCAAAAATCCGATCAGCAAACGTGCTGACCGTATCACCACCGAAGGCGGTCAGGTGCGTTATCTTGTGGACAAAATGCTGCTGCCTAAGAAGAACAAGTTAACTGTGTCCATTATTGCCTGCATGGGTAGACGACATAGCAGTGGAAAAGTCCCTCCTGGAGACTTTGCGTGTTTGATGGATCCGCTGCATGCTGCTGCCTAGGTAGAACAAGTTAAATGTGTCCATTATTACCTGCATGGGTTGGCGACGTGGCAATGGGCATCGTGACGCTGGTGTCACTGTGGGAGGCAGCAGGTTCCTAAAAGTGAATGAAAGTGTATAACGGTCAACCATACCGAAGCTGAAGTAAGCAAAGGTATGCTCCTTGCGTATATATCCTCATCCAGCGGGTCTCTTAATATCCGTTTAGGACGCTGGCTGTTATCGGTCCTTTGACTGTCGGACATAGTAGGCTACAACCCAACAGGAAAAGTAAGAAATAGTGGAGTTTAAGCCGTTAATTTCAATTAGGACGAAGTGATAGTCGACGGGGAAGCACGCGTACTTGCGGATGGAGGACGGCAATGTACAGGTCTTGATTGCGGTCCCCATCCAAGCTTTATAAACTTTAAAATGTGACGAGTTTTGAGGATAATCGAAATAGTCCTCAACGTTCTCGTACTCGGTGTACACTAACCCTATGTCGCCGGATGAATTGCGTACAACATTTCTAACACACGCGCTAGCTCCTCTTCAAACTCGATAGACACATCGGACTCCGTGTTCGAAGGCACACACACAAGAAACTCATCTCTTCATCGGATGAATAGAATTT